CCATTGAATATGTATGGGATACACCCCTTATTTTGGAAATTCTACACGTATAATATTCTGTTGTATTCTCCACGGTTCGGAATTCATAATTTTCATTCTCTTAGACTTGTTGACATCCAAGGCTAGAAAGCTCAGTCTACCCTGCCATTGAACCTATAGAGTATCATAAAATTATAATTACATAGAACGCAAGCGAGTAGACAGGAATTCCACTTTCTGTGCTAATTAATTGATTGATTTGTTTTTTTACAGCTTATCAAACTGTTAAGTCTATATTTCTGAGATGAGCTATTGTAACTATTTACACTATTTACATTGTTCGGACTATTGTCCTCATCTTTATTGTCATATTCACGACGTTTCGGCCGTTGTACGCTCCGGCCTTCTTCAGGTGATATACATTGGAATTTCGAACCGAACTCTTTACTTCCTCCACCGGACACATGGCCCATTGGATAGAAGCATTGGTTAAAGTAATCCAGTGACTTGATGCAAAGGCTTGTGAGTTCAGTACCTGGCCACAGTAGAGGCAAACAAAAAAAATCTTGGAGAGTTGAGTTACTAAATTGAATTAACTGAAACCGAGATATCCAGAAAAGGCATGTCACATAGAAATAGAACAATCTACCCTCGTGGACTAAATAAAGGGTTAAGTTCGAAATTCGAACTTTTTTCACCTAAAGAACGCCGGAGCGTAGAGCGATCGAAACGTCGTGAATATGGCATTGAAAATGAGGACAACAGTCCAAACAATGTAAATAGTGTAGATTATCAACCTTTTGTAGGTTATTTAAAACTGGAAAACATTTTAGATTGCAAGAATTTAGGGGAGATAATAATGATTCCTTGATACAAGTTCTACTAATTAACCCATAATTAGGGAGGAGAAGTGGTGAATTAAAACATTGATTGATTGATTCGTTTTCTAGTGCTTATCTATTTGCAGGTTATTTAAAGGCAGAATTTTTTTTTCGATTGTAAGAATTTAAAAAAAAATAATAATTTAGTGATACATGTATTACTAATTAACCCAATGCTGGAAGGGGGAGGAGAAGAGGTGGATTCATACCTATCTCAAGTGTAATTTGCTCGTAAGTGAATATAACAAACTCGACTGGAATTTGAACTCGGCTCTCCGATTTCCAATTCCGAAACGTTATCCATTATACGTGCCACACATCCAAGCTTACTGCGCCTGGTATTGCGAAGTAGTCAGCCATTTAGGTACTGGACAGGCTCGGCGTTGCTTAACTTCGGGAACCGGTGGTTCAACGTGTTATGGCAGTTAGCTGTCTTCTTTTGGAAAAAATTCGTTCATGCCAAATTTCTCGAGTACCCAAAATGGTACAACCACACTGTCGAAATTTTGCAAGGTTAACCAGCAAACCACAACACCGCACCCGCCGATTTACCCGCACCTCTGCTCCTAGTCCCTCCTATTCATTCTATCTATCTATCTATCTATCTATCTATCTATCTATCTATCTTCTTTCTCTCTCTCTCTTTCTCTCTCTCTCTCTCTCTCTCTCTCTATCTATCTATCTATTTTTTTATTAAATTAATTTTCACACCAGCTTCTTTTACTGGTTTTCATCAAGGCTCACATAGCTACATCGAGAACGCTTTTAATAAATATAATAATTTTTTTCAGTTCTCTCTCAGATTTCCAGTTCTTCCATTCTTGTCTACAACAATCTTCTGCTGCAAACAATTGTTCCATTCCTAGTTCATTAAAGACTTACAGACTTGCATAATGGTCAAGAACATTGCAATTTGAAATCCATATTATTATATTCTAAAATCCTCAATGTTATTTGTCTTGACACTTTACATAGCTTCCCTGTGCATTTTCTTCAAATACTTTCATGTTAATTGTTCTGATGAACTTTCCTCTATCGTATCTGGACTTTAGGAATTTAAGCACAGTATTATATTGGTAACAAGGTCCCATCATTTTTCAGTTGAATGGGCTAAATATAACCGTAGATTCTATGGTTCTACGCCAATAGTTTCTTTTCTCGCACTTCTCGCATGTGGAACCCTCTTCCGGTTCTTTGCTTTCCAGCCAACTTAGATCTTCAAAGATTTAAATGCAATGTCAATCGTTGTCTACTGTCTTTTTGATTCCTCTTCTTTTACTGTTCTCATCCCTTAAAAATGTTTTTCTTATCTTTCACATTCAGTAACCTGATGTGTCTTAGTGACTTTATTGCCTTGTTTGATGTGAAATGATTATTAATAAAATCTACGTTATGCATGCTTATTTAAATATATTTACATGTGGCTTGTGTCTATCACATATATACATATAAATACATACATACATATATACATACTTACATAAATATTGAGTGTAAATTATTTTAGATGTGTACCTTACTCATTTTGAGTAAGTACACTACTTATCATCTCTCAATTGCGTCTCTGTCTTTGGACAGAGTGCGCTCAGGGGCTTCTCTGTCAAAGGACAGAGGGGCAACTGAGAAAAATATACTGAGAGGTGCACAGCCCTGGGGAACAGCTGCCCGAGGCCGTGCCTTCTCATTGCACTAGAGAGACGGTTTCGGGGGCTTAGGGGAATTTTTTTACTTGCCCGGGCGCACGCGCTCGGGCTCCCCACATTAAACCGACCTTGTATCACAACCTGACCTCGTGCGGGGTTGAGTAAATATCTATCTATCTATATATATATATATATATATATATATATATATATATATGTGTGTGTGTGTGTGTGTGTGTGTGTGTGTGTGTGTGTGTGTGTGTGTGTTATTCATATCGTTGGTGTACAGGACGAAATCAGATTTTCACATTAAATTTTGGAATAAAAAGTGCGTCTTATAACCCGAAAAATACGTTATGTGGCTTATTGCCAAAATGTCTTCTACGGCATCTTTTTTGGCACTGTTTATTTTTCTCATTTCTCAATGTCGTTATTGTTGTTTTAGTTTCTAATATATTTAGCGAGAGCGTTCTGCTTAAAAAATCCAAACTTCACAGTCACGCTATTCATCATACCGTTGGTATGGTTCGTATTCTTTTAGAGTGAAGCAATGGGATGAGGTTTCCACCCATAAACAACTCAGCAAGACTAGTCTTAGCCGATTCCTGAAAAAAAACATGCCTGATCAGTGTTTTAATATATATAAAAAATGTTTTCTGTTTTCTTGTTTTCAGCATTATAATGCTTTTTTCTTTCGACGAAGGAACACGGTATGTTGCTCAATAAGTAGTCAATCAGTAAAACTGAAAAACTGTTACACTTGCATTTCAGAAGTGAAAATTTCTAACAGTTGAGACAGCAATAAGTTAAACTGAGATCATTTTGGTTCAAAGCCAGAGATTTGGTAGACGAGCTGTTATAAATTGATTGTAACTAGGTTACAATACTAGGATTTTTACTACCGAATTTTAAATAGTGAGGTCCTTATTAAAATATCAAAACCTAAACAGACCGTGATAGATACGAACAGACTGGGAAAGAAAGTGTAGTGAACAAAACAAGATCTAGAATTAAAATTCAAATGCTAAGCACTGACTCATTGATTTTGTTAGAAATTAAAAAGACTCGAATTTACAAACTTTGCTTAATACACACGCAAAAGTGAATCCAAAACAAAACTCGTGAAATTTCACACCTTGATGCGAAATGTTTTTCGGCCAATAGAAAACACTTAAAAACAAAATTCAAATAATCTTCAATTCTCAGAAGCAAATTCTTTTACGGACCTTTTCGCGAGCCGACGCGAAATTTGCTCGTCGCCCAATGGAAAGACCCGAATCATATCCGGGAGTGAATTCCCAAATGACCTTTTCAAGCCCTACAAACAAAATAAAAGACGGGCAAGTTCGCTTGTCACCAGAGAGGAGGAGACGATCGTATGAACAGGTCCCTTGACAACGTCAAGCGAGCGTTATTATTATTTCTAACTTTCTCCCTCACCACTTTTATACTTGATAAAGAACGGAACATTTTAAGACTGAGCGATTACTTCAAAGACATTCCTATCCTTCGATAACGCTCATACATACATACATCCACACATACGTTCCTGCCTACGTACACATAAACTCATTCTTGCAAGGACTTCTACGAACATTTTGATGACCTTGATCAACCAAAATACATTAATTTTATTTGTAAAGAACATAATTGATTTATATGTATATAAATTTGTTGTTTCACTTTACATTTTGATTTTCCTGTTTTATACCCCTCTAATAGTGGGCTATCTAACTAACAAGGCCAAATCAAACTAATCAGTTTCCACACTCATGCACTTCACTATAACTGATAACCCACTATAAAAGAAAGAAAGAAAGAAAGAAAGAAAGAAAGAAAGAAAGAAAGAAAGAAAGAAGAGACAAATCAAAACGACTCAAAAAAAATCGAAATAGGTTCTACCCGAATTTTTCAATCGCTGAAAATGTTTGTGATGAGTTTCATGGAGAGTAACAAAAGGTGGGAAAAGGTGACAGGGAATGTCCAGAGAAGAGAATAGGAATTCAGTTCGTTTTCGTCTCTCATCGCATATAAACGTAGGACTTCCACTTTAAATCAGGTTTTTTTGCGATATTCCGTTCGTGTGGGTATATAGTTAAATACTTCCAAAGAGGGAATTTAGGATCCCTCTGAAGTTTCACCAGTGTCCCAAGTAAAATGTTCAATCATTTAAAAGTCTACAGGCGAGAAACAAAGCCTTTTCCTATACCGGATTGATACAATTGATAAACTGATTTGTTTCTTACAGATTATCAAACATTTGTTATTTAAAGCAGGAAAATATCTTTAAATTGTATGAATTTTTTGATAATGATGGTTTAGCAATAACAGTTTTACTAATTAACCCATAGCTGGAGGGAGAAGTGTATTTGCTAAGTGTCTTTGAGCGTAAGTGAATATAATGAACCCAACGGGAATTTGGTCTCTGCTCTCCGAGATCCAATTTCGAGATTAACAATTCCGAGCCGTTATCTGTTACACCATCCGAATATCCAAGCTTACAGCACCTGGTTTTCCCAAGTGGTCACCCATCTAAGCACTGACAAGCTCGACTTTGCTTAACTTCAATGATCGTACGAGAACCGGCGTTTCAACGTGATATGGCCGTAATTTATATAATTATGTTAGTAACAACAAAATGGAATGTAGGTATTAATTTTGACAATTTTCTTTCATCTGAATTTGTTATCACCACGTTACTCGGGCCGTCATTCTACGGCATCTGGCAAATAGCACGGATCAGAAATAATAAATGCTCCTGATGAGCATCTTAAGGGGTGTCACGTATAGAATTACTCGGCATGACATAGACATGTATTGAACTCTCACTTCTCCTAGGTTCATTATCGTTGTTATTACAGAATGAACAGATTTTATATTAGGCTGTACACTAAAACTGATATAAGTAAAATAAGTAAATCTAAATAAAGTAAAATACCCTCTCAAAATAGGGAAATCAACGCGATCTTCTCCGTCTTCAAAGTTACCAGTTCAAGAGGGGATTACAATACCAGAGAACAGACCGAAAATTTCAACCTGCTCGCCACTAGCTCGTTTTCCTTTAAAAAAAAAAAAGACCCTTTTTTTCCTTCTTTCTTCCTTTTAGCTTACTTTCTTGAAACCAAGGATTGGGCTTTGTTCCCATACCTATACAGTCAGGTAAAAAAAAAAAAGAAAAAAAAAAAACGCACTTTTAAACATTTTTTAAACATTTCTATGCCTTTTTTTTCTCCACGCCATTAGCATAAGAAAATAGATGACGCAGTGTTGGCAGCAGACGCAGAAAGAAAATTACAGGAACTGCTACAAAATGAACTAAAAGAAAGAGAGAAGAAAGGACTATCAACTGTAAGAAGACAGAATGTATGGTTGTCAGCAAAAGGAGCAGCTCAAGATGCGAACTGCGAATTGGAGAAACCAAAATCAAGCAAGTACAAAAATTTAAATATCTAGGAATTGTTTTAATAGAGGACGGAAAATACAATACAGAAATCGGAAAACACATTGGAATAACAAAAATTGCCTTCCAAAAGCTAAGCAAAGTATTAAGAAACAGGAAAATTTCCTTAGAAAGGAAGAACTGTAATATCGGTCCTCCTATATGGTAGTGAATGCTGGACAATCTCCTCAGATGAAGAATACACTTGAAGTAACAGAAATATAGTTCTACAGAAGGATGCTGAGAATACCATGGACTGAATATATGATTAACGTCGAAGTTTTAGGAAAAATGGAAACAAAAACAATGCTAGAATCAGAGAGAAAAGAAAATTTCATGAGCACATAATGAGGAAAGAGACCTGGAGAATTTGACACTTACAGAAGAACTTACGAAGAATTAAAATCGATTTTATTAATGAATGATTCAACTGCTCCGACTACATGAATTTAAGCGTGTTACTAGATTGCCATCAAGGGACCACCCTTTTACTGTTGAAATAGTTAAATGTAATTGTCACTTCTACTCCAGCAGTTTCTTTTCTCGCACTTCCCAACAGTGGAACTCCCTCCCGTTTACTTGTTTCCCTGATAACTACAATCTTCAAAAATTTAAATGCAACGTCAATCGCCATATTCTATCTTCTCGAACCCCGTTCATCTTTTATCCTTTCCTCAATCCCACCCCCTTATACCCAGTCTTTTCTCTCATTCTCTGTAACCCCACCCCGCGTACTAGTGGCTTTCCCGCCTTGTTTGGGGTGAAATGATTAAAAATGTCATTAGTAATTACAGCAGACAACCGTTAATACATTTTATCTCGTTGATAAAATTCTTGTGATTTTCATGAAATAAACGTTGATAATAATGTGTGTGTTTAGGCAGCAATCCTTCTTTCATGCACATTTCATTGAATACGACAAAGTGCTTTTATTTACTTTTTTATACAATTTCTCATGCGATCTAATATTTTTTTTCTTTTCGGATGATAAATTATATAAAAAAAAACATTCAGACAGTTTTTATATAATTTATCTTCCGAAAAGAAAAAATTATTAGATTGCATGAGAAATTGTATAAAAAAAACTAAATAAAAGCACCTTGTCTGTCATATTCAATAAAATGTTCTTATATATATATATATATATATATATATATATATATATATATATATATATATATATATAACGAATACAGAATTCTTAAAGATCCATCAGGTCAGGTAATAATTTATTTCGTAGACTTCACGTCTATCTCTTCAATCTAGTTTTACATCAATAAATGGAGTTCAATTTATTCGGACACAAAGAAAAGTAAAAATAAAATAAGAAGTAAAAAAGAAGGAAAAAGAGAGAAGGGAAAAAGAGGAAAAAGTTTATTGACGTAAAACTGGTCTGAAGAGATGGACATGAGGTCCACAAAATAAGGATTCTTTTAAGGATTCTGTATTCATTATTATATTGCTCTGTTCTTACATTGAACTCTCTTTGGATTTATACCCTCCTGGGAATTATCCCTACCAATCATCAATTGACAGTATATATATATATATATATATATATATATATATATATATATATATATATATATATATATAAAGTGGTCATTGAAACACCCAGAGGCAACCGTCAGTTTCATGCTTAAACGCAATCACCAGCACCAGGCCACGCGTTTAAGCATGAAACAGATTGTCGTCTCTGGGTATTGACATCAATGTCCACTTTTATATTTACATACGCTCTATCCTTTATATTGAGCACTTTAACCCATAAATATCGCATACCTTAAAAGTATATTTCTTCATATATATAAAGTATATTTCTTCATATATATATATATATATATATATATATATATATATATATATATGTATGATGGGTTAATCGTTATCTTCCCCACATATCCCCATAAACTGTGCCACTTACTCTGTAACCCTCTACATCGAGTGGCTTCCGGGCCTTGCCCAGGGTGAAGATCATTGTAAAAAATACTGATTGGATGGATTTTTTTTTTTATTTTATGAGATTTTATGCGTAGTAGTAAGTGTGGGATCGTTAATTACATATGTCGTTAGATAAAGACTTGCTGTATGTATATGAATACAAAGAGATGGAAAAAGAGAGAGAAAGAAATTACACGCTACCGTATTCCTAAGATCAAATCTTTCGTATCACATACAATGCGTACTGGTTGGATTTTTTAAATTTATAACTGGTCGTAAGTATGGGAGTCGTTAATTAGGTATGTCATTAAGCGAGGAGAAGTATATAGATAAAGAGATGATGAAGAAAAAGAGAGAAAGAAAGTACACGCTGTCGTATTCGTACGGGTAAATTTGTCATACAACATACAATACTGACTGGTTAGTGTTTTATTTTATAAATGGTCGTATGTATGGAGCGTTAATTAGGTATTATTATTAGATATATTATTAAGCGATCAATTGCTGTAGATTATACATACAGCAAGTCCTAATTAGATATAGATTTAGAGATAAGGAAAAGAGGAAGATGGTGACAGTCAGAAATAGAGGATTGTTGTCAACGATTACAGTTAACTCTGCTTGTCGACACTCTGCCTCTGGTCGGAGAAGAACCCAGACGAGGCTATCCCGAAGGGCAGAGTCTCGTCTGGGGAGGTAGACAGCTACCCGACCGTGTATAAGGGTCTACGAGCAATTTTTATCCGAGCCCCACGTAAAAAACGGCTTTGTGCCAAATGCCGCCTTGTGGGGAGTTCACGGGTAAATACTGAGAAAGAGAGTACACCCTGTCGTATTCCTACGATCAAAGTTTTCGTACAGCATATAATATCGAATTTGGGGATTTTTTTATTTATTTTATGGGTCTTATAGGTGATCATAATTGATCAGGTGTGTCGCTTCTTGTGGAGAGAGAGAAGAGAGAGAGAGATATGGAGAAAGAGAGGAAAAGTTAGTACACACAACTGTACTCCTACGATCAAAGTTTTCGTACAACATACAATACCGAATGTTTGTATTTATTTTTATATATTTGGCCGTAATGTGAAGTCGGTAATTAGGTATGTCGTTAAGCGAGGACTTGCTGTATGTATAGAGATAGAGAGAGACGGTGAAATAGGGAGAGTGTTCACGCTACTGTATTCCCACGATCAAAGTTTTCGTACAATATACAATACCGACTGGTTGAATTTATTTTCGTAAGTGTTGGGTGGTTTTTAAGTTAAGTCGTTAAACGAGGACTTGTTATATATATATATATATATATATATATATATATATATCTCTGTCCTGGACATTGAGTTCTACCTGGATTCTATCCTCTTGGGAATTTATATATATATATATATATATATATATATATATATATATATATATATATATATATATATATATATATATATATATATATATATATATATATATATATATATATATTGACCACTAATATTATCTCTCTCTCTCTCTCTCTCTCTCTCTCTCTCTCTAGATAGATAGATAGATAGATAGATAGATAGATAGATAGATAGATAGATAGATAGATGTGAAGAGAGAGAGAAAGAGAAATAAAAAGTTGTATTACAATTAATATCTACTGTATGAGCATTGTAGGAATATAGTTCAGCATTTGCCTTGATAAAGTCCCTCAGAGGACGAAACGCGATAAGTTTTTACTTTTGTAAATATTTGTCATATTGTTCCTATACTTTATCTAAAATTTTACATTTTTTTTTTCATATCAAACAGGCGCATACTCGAACTCTGTAAATAGTAGAACCAAACATGACTTATGTTGGGTTGCTGTGATCTTTTACGAGAAATAGTCACTCGTAACAATAAAAGATACTCGTGTGTACCGACCGACAATTGTCTTATTTTCTTTGCTGCTAAACCGAATACGATTATTTGTTACAAACTGTAAAACATACTTCTTGTTTGTTTGCTTTTTGCTGCTCTTGTTTCTTGTTAGATTTTATTTTTGTGTAAGTGTTATTCTAACCTTCAAATTGTTACAAAATTTGCTTCCTGTCACACACCTGCTGCCACAAAACACATGTTTTATTTGTTTTTTCACACTTTTCTTCTGTCATTCGTTTCTTTTGTCGTTCTATCCTGTTTTGTTGTTTTTGTTTTTTTGGGTTTTTTTAGGTTTTTTTTTTTTTTTCTTAAATCTACACAGTTCAAATTAAC